AGTAATTATAAATTTAATGGTTTTGAAATTTCATTTGGTTATGCACAAAATGTAAGAAAAACAATGACAGTTAATCCAACAGTTGCTGTTAATAGTTGGAAAAATAGTGAAGGACATAACAATGTTATAATCCAACAAGGTGCTTTCAAAAATACACCAATGAAAGCCATGGGTGTTGGTGTTTATAAAGGATATGCATGTGTATGGTTTGGCCAACAAGCGGATACATATCCAGCCCCTGCATAAATACTTTTACTACATTTTGACTATGCATATGGTTCTTTAATATGCAATCAATAAAAAGTTCATATAATAATAGCCAGCTATGGTCTATTCTTTTTACATCACATAACGAAATGAAAGTTTTGATTCAGATAAATAATCTTTATTTTAAAATATTAACTTATTTCTGTTGATTTTCCTATATTCCAACGTACTGCCATATCATATGTCCAGAACATCATATTGTTAACATTTCTTGAAAGCAAGATTATTTTTAGAGTAATGTTTATTTTTAAAGAGACACAACCTTAAAGTTTCAGGAATTTTGTATTCAAGGTCTAATGACATAAAAATATACAAGCATAGAGTTCAAGAGTAAAGTCTACGATGATACATCTCATCGATCTTTAAAAGATGTTCCATAAATACATTATGCATGGCTCAAGAAGGCAGACCCATGTAAATAAAACTTTATTTTGCAGTATGACGCCGATAAAGTTTTATAGATTTATCCTATGTTTTTCAACGATGGCTCATTCGACAACCGATTGAAAACTAAACACAATAATATATTTGAAAATTTCTACGTACGCGCTTTCTCGATTGTATATTTAATGATCGTGAAATGAAGTTTTATTTGAAAAAGTCAATATTTTCATGTAAATATGATAATGACAATTGCCATGACCTTAGTTATTAAAAGATTTTCTGTGCGAAAATGTGGTTGGCAAAAGAAATCAAATTGTTTAAACTGTTCGAGTTTCTAAACTTTGATGAGTTATATCTTCTTGCAAGAAAAAAACTGTGAAAGCTGAATGCAAAGAGACTTTATACGAATTCCTTTTGATCCTAGTGAAAATAGCTCATATATGTCAAACTTGAAAACTTGAATTTCAAGTATTCGTTATAGTACTCACGAAATAGAGACGAGCAGATATTTCGTTCCAGTTTCGACGCTACAAAACGACAGATACACTATCTAAATTAAAAATTCGAAAAGCTGACTACTGGAACACTTGAATTGAAAAGTTCAATAATTGATTACAAATGTCAAGTTTGATAAGATCACCAAATGATAAATTTTGCTTTTTAAATCAAAACTTTCAATGAATGAATTTAATTCCGATTCATAAATTTAAAGAAAACGCTTGCAATAATAATATGACACACTTGCAGAATTATTTCTCTTCTAATGTCTTTTTCTTTTATATTTTGTTTACAGGCTTTTAGTAATCATTTCTATTCTTTCATGAAAATGAGGGTGGGATGTGAGGTGGGTGTGGGTGTGGGTATTGATGTTCCCTATATCCACATCCACATCCACATCCACACGCATACCCACACCCCATCCACACCCTCATTTTAGCACAAGAAATAAATGACATTGTCATCATAGATAAATAAAACATGAAAATTTTTGTATAAATAACTCATCTCACATTAAATAGACCAACGATAAACCCAATGATTTATAAATACTTTAATTATGATTAATATTATACTATATATAATAAAGCCTTTATTTTCCGAAAGTTTTTCAGGTAAAATTGGAAAATAAATTGAAACGATCATCAGTAAAAGTAATTGAAAGTTTAATAATGGTGTTCTTGAGAATGATGTGATAGCAATCAAACGCATGGACATTAACCAGCATACTGTAACTGTTAATATTGCAGTGGAATCGAATTAAAGAAGATTTCGACAAATAATATGACTTAATAATGCATGTGAAAGAAATGTTAGAACAAATCGAATTAATTTATTTGAAATTGGACGAGTCAGATAATAGCATACGAGTATGCACATAAATCAACTGATACAAATAAATAAAGATGAAGTCATAGTCACGATTACTTTCATATCTTTTTAAAATCAACTTATTCGTTATTATATTTCTATTGTGACATCGATTATTCAAATCATTCTTTTTTTTCAACACTAACAACATAAAACTTCATCATATCATTCTTATATTATTTCCTCAAAAAAAAGAAGTTAAAGAATATTTTCTTCATTTTATGATGAAAATTCGATTGAAAGTCATGTAGGATAATATGCATTGAAGTTACTCAATCAAATATTAGCAAAGAAAAGCTTTCAGCAAACATCTATCAAGGCAAATGAATAACTTGAATTATTGTCCAGTAAATGGAATGGTTTTTCTTTTTTTTGAAACAATCGGAACCGATCTCTTTGACAGATGTAGATTAGAGACAGAAAATAGACTGAACTAGAGTCCGACAGGTTGCTTCTGGACCCGTAGACACTAATCATACGAGAAATGTGTAGTTTGCGCCAGTCACTGAATGCAGAAGATCGGAAGAAAACATTTGATATCCTCGGAGTAACTATACGCTTGCGATTAAACATCTTCCTACAAGAGAAAATTCTTATTGAAGGAACAATGCAATAATTATAATAGAATGTGATTCAAACCTGGAAAACCGGCAGTATATCGCCGGTATAGCGCACATTATACCAAACTGTCAACAACTCCTTTTTCAAGTAAGGGTGGGTGTGGGTGTGAGTGTGGGTGTCACTGCGCGTATGAAACCATCAATATCCACACCCACACCCCACACCCCACACCCCACCCCACCCCCATACCCACACCCACACCCACACCACACATCCACCCATACCCACACCCACACCCCACCCACACCCACACCCTAGTTTGATCCTAATAACAACACTCTAACAAAATTCAAGCAGAAGGCTACTATTGGAGAAAAAAGAAGATTTTTCATAAATTTTCACTGAGAAAACAAGGAAGATCTCACTGAATTTTTCTTTAGAGCATGTTGAATACTATCTAAATCCCAAAGATCATAAGAAAAAAAAATCGATTTGTTGACATACAAAACTTGAAGAGAAGGCATTGAGAATTGATGAAACAAAAGTGAGTTTTATAACAATAGAGTGTGGATGAAGCACAGAATTAATTACACTGAAATCCATACATCCACAACCTCATTAAAATTTTGCTTTTATTTTAGTAATGAAATTCTTGAAATAAAGATATTGTTAAATTAATCAGAATAGTATTGTAATTTCGAATTGTCAATATATTGAAACTTAGGAAAACGAAAAGCATGTAAACCTAATCAAATTAATAAAATTAATTTTTGTTTTCTTGGGAAATGATTATATTTAAAAAAAATTTTAATGAATATTATGAAACTAATACGCTAAAATGTAACTTAAATAGTTTTTTTTTGTATACTTTGAGTATTGTCTGAAAGCCCAAAAATTAATATTTCGTTTATTGATTAGGAAAAAAATCGGAGATTGATTTGTAATATGCTCAAATTTGTAAATATTAATGTATATTTTCGTATTATAAAACAAAAGGGCGCTTAGGCGTAAAAAAACGAGACACATGTTAACAGAATGAAAGAAGCGCGACAATAAGAACGTTGATAAAAAATGTTTATCTTATGAAAATGTCACACTTCATTGGTTTTCATAATTCTATGTAAGCGGGGGGAAAACCGAGTAATTTTGTCAACAATAAATATGAAGAAAAATCAGTAGCAAACAGACAAAATAATCCTATATATATCGGAATCACTTATTAAGTAAGTATATTCGATTTTTGACATTGTATAACTAATGTTCAATCAATAAAACGTTCGAGTTAAGATGTAAATTTTTCGAATTTATTTTTATAGCATGATGATGTATTCTCTTGCCTTTATTGTATACTATAAACTGACATAGATTACTCATATATTTATCATCATAATGCTCTAGTGATCCTCTAATTATACTGTATATTTTAGACTTTTATCCTTTTGTATTGTGTATGATATAGATACATAAGACCATGTTCGACTATATACCAGAATAAATTTTTATATTATGTTCAATTTTTTCTTATAATGACATATTAAATTCACCTATTGGTACAAAGCCTAGAAAAACAACGCTAATAAGTGAACTTTATTATCATTTTAGAAAAAAAAAGAAAGCATTATATAAAACTTTATTCCGGAATACATTAGTAGATAGTGTTATGTATGCGTGCCATGTAACAAATATGTTAAACAAGTTTTAATCTATAAATGAAAATCAAATTCATAATAATATGTGAACATTATAATACACTCGACACCCTATAACCTTACATATCAAAGGATAAAAATCTGAGATATACATTATGATTATAAGATCACTTGTGTATTATTATAGTAAATATATGAGCAGTCTATAACAGTTTGCAATATATATAAGACAAGAGAATACATCATCATAAAATGAAAAAGAATACAAAAAAAAATCAAATTTCAATCCGGATTTTAGTAAGAACAATAAAATATAAAACATAAGAAAGAAAAAATATAAAAAATATAAAGATAAGTTAGAATGGAAAGAAAGTGAAACAATGTTGTTTGTTCACGTTCTGGTGGTGTCTATACTGATAATATAGGCAGACCATTCAGTATCAGTTCAAAGAATAAGTGTTTAAGGTACAACGATAATTTCATAGTAAAAGTAGTTACATGAGTTGTCGAATGAAGTCAACTTTAATAAAAAATTTAGTATGTATTTGTCTAAAGTAACTATATTTCAATATAATACGTAAATGTTTTGAGTCAAGTAGTCGAGAATAAAATGTTGTTTTATACCAATTGACTACAATAACGAAAATAGACTTTCTGTAGCAAGAAAACTGAAATTCAGAAATTTCGATAAACTTCTTACACATTTCGATTTCTAGACTTCAAAAATTATCCATTAACTTATATCAAATTCAACATTTTTCTTGAAATAATGCTTTTTATATCTCTATCACTTAACTTTAAGTTACATACGAGAGTCGTTCAAAAAGTATCCCGACTGATTTTATTTAAAAGCAATAAGAAGCACTGCCATATTTGTATTATTACTTATGTGTAGTTCGTAGAGTCCTCTATCCATAGACATGATAAACTCTGTTGAAGTAAACATGTATATGAAAATATAGAAATGCATTTGAGACCACTGTTTCTACACTGACCAAAAACCAAAAAACTTGAGCAAAGTTTCATCTTTTTTAAGACTAGTTTCCATCCAATATTTATAAATACATGGTGACAGTTTACAGTAGCAATACTGCATCACACACTACGATATTTGATTGAACTCGTCGTTTTGAAGGCGAATAAATAACTATCAATGGTACTTTTAACTATGATCGATAAATCGTTAACATTATGTCTGATAATGTACTATCTCCTTGAGCTGACTATAGTCATATATAATTGATCAGGAAAATGTTGAATACCGTACATTTTTAATGTGAACAGTGTCTGCTATTTACTCAAGTGCGATTCAATTATATTCGATCATCAGGCTTCTAAAAGTTTTAATAGTTATGTAACTCACATCTAGATTATTATCAATGTATCGTAATCCATCTTTCAAACAACGATTCCTTTCAGAAATTGCAGTAAGCAATAGAGAATCGATCGTTATAGACTGCCACTATACCTTCATAAATATTGAATGAATCATCGTCTTATAAAACAAGAAACATAATCACTGAACGATGCTCCAAATTTTTTTTTTTTTTCTCTCAGTGTATAAACGGTGGTCTCAAATATATTTCTATATTTTCATATATACGTTTAATGCAAGAGAGCTTATCATATATATGGATAAAGGACTCTACAAACTACACACTGGTACTAATACAAATATAGCAGCACTTCTTATTGTTTTTAAATAAAATCAGTTCGGATACTTTTTGAACGCTCTACATAAGTAGATGAAGAGCAATCTCGACTTGATATTACTGATTTATTGACTGGAGAATTATTATTATTATTAACTATATAAATAATGATAGTTGATAACTTTTTATTAAGATAAACAATTCAGTAATCATTTACAGTTGAACATACAATAAACCACATATTCTCTTCTTATTGATAACAACAATACTTCTATGAATATATATGGATTAGGAAAAAAAAGCGATATGTTCTGTATTCTTTGCCTGCAATTAGCGTAAGTATGTAATTTACGTAGCTAACGAAGAGTATAGTGTACTGTTCTTAGCTTTGCTCCATATGACTTCGATATTAATGGTTGTCGAAGTTGTAAACCCCATCAGGAGGATAAATTAGTAATTTCATATCGAAAACGAAGTATACACTTGTTAAACTATCTTACCAATTTTTTTCCAACATCACTTTTTCTCTATAGAACTTCTTATTCTGTGTGAAGTAATAATAAGTGACAGGATCATATTAGTATAGAAAATATTGCTACTAGAAATAACATTCATACAGTATCTATAATTGATTGTTATATATATATCTCTTCACCATGTATTTCTGTTGTGATATTAATTATCTATTCTAAATATTCTACAATCGATTTGCATTTTGAATCAAACAGTACATCATTCATTACTTTTGATTGTCATTTATTACCATTCATCAAGATAAATTGTTAAAAGAATAATATTTAATGTTTTTTGTCCTCATAAAATTAAGAAAAATTCTGAAAATCATATTATAGAAGCAAATTAACGAGATCAAACCTCAAAATAAAATTTTCATATGTCATTCATAGAAACCAAAGCATCTTTATAATATCTATTGTGACATAATTTTTGTTGTTAGAGTGGAATATTAACTACATGTACAATAATGAGATATTCATATCAATAACTACAAACTCAATACGTTTTTTTATCAACTGACCTTTCCTCTTTCAAAATTCTTGAAGGAAAGAAGTGGTCATATTAAACTACACTGAAACATGAAAAATAATCAGTTCTAACAAAAAATAAAAATAAACAATATAACTATGTTTCATTAAAGATGTGTGTTGAGTATAAACACAGATGACGATCAATCTATATAGAAAAATTAATTATTTATAAGAAATCTAGTCTAATAATACAGTGTTAGATCCAACAAATTTGTGTCAAACCTGATGCATACTGAATATTTTACGAGAATTTACAGGGATATCAAAGAGAATCATATTCTTAGTATTATTAGAAAATTTCGAGTAATTTCGTTTTTTTTTACATATCCTAGAAAAACTTGTACTAGAATCGTAGAATATGAGACATACCGTGGGAGCTATGAGAATATTAACCAGATCATATATAAGATTAGCTCAGTTCTATAATCAATGAATCATATTAAATCAGATAATGTGAATTTTATATTATCGCTCATATTACTTCATTTATTGTATAGAGTGTCCAGTAAGTCCTTAGCCAAAGAAAAATTTGAATATCTCCATTATGGTTCAACTAAACGGGCTCATGTTTTTACTAAAGATAGAGGCATGTTCACACTCCAAATCCATACGGACAAAGTTAGTGAGAATCTTTGTTAAATATCGCTATTGACCTCTGGAAGAAAGTTTTACTTTTTCACAGATTGGAAAAAAAATATATACAGTATAGTGCAAAACTCACTTTCTAGGAAAGAAAATTGAATATGTCCATTACAGCTCGATCAAACCAGCTGATTTTTTTACCAAAGATAGAGACATGTGCACACTGCAAATCCATAAGGACAAGATTAGTGAAAAATTTTGTTAAGTATATATTTTTTTTCCTATCTGTGAAAAAGTAAAGTTTTCTTCCTGAGGTCAACAGTGATCTTTAACAAAGGTTCTCACTAACCTTGTCCGTATGGATTTGGAGTGGGGACATGCCTCTAGCTTTGGTAAAAACATGAGCCCGTTTGGTCAAGCCGTAATGGAGATATTCCAATCTTTCTTTGGCTAAGGACTTACTGGACACTCTATAGATTCATAAACTTCTAAAACTTAGACAGATTTTTTGTTTTAGTCTACTAGCATATATTTATCTCGTTGAATAAAGATATCAGATGATCTACAGAGAAATAAACTTTTGAAGAGTCATTTTATATTAGTTTGAATATAAATATGTTGTTCTATATAGCGAAATACAGTAATAGAGCTATATGTTGAAGAAATCATACTGTGGAAAGGCTACATAGAAGTCCGTTTATGTACAACTAAATGATCGAATATCGAGAGGAATGCGTCTGGATGTAGATCTTATCATCATATCCACACCCACATCCATCCTCGATATCAACAACGAATATTGACAATTTATAATAGAAAGAGAGATAGAAATACAGAGCACTTTCACTGAACAAACAATACCCTATTTTGCATAGAGTTGTATGACGGCACAACGGAATTCACTTTTACCTCTCAACCAGCAATATCTACGGTCGCAACGCTGCAATAATTCCATTGTAATTTGTCTCAACTCGAAGATGACAATGATGGATAATACAATCACTCAATTGCATCGTACCATCAAATTTGTTCGAATGTTCGATGAGGCTGATTCATGTATCGAGTTCCTGAGAAATGCCCACAGTCAACAAATTATTCTTATTCTTCCAAATGATATTGACCAGATTATCATGAATCGCATACATGATATACATCAACTTGATACCATTTACATTTTCTCGAATAGTGAGATTGCACATGAAAACTGGAGCAAACAGTGGAAAAAAGTTAAGGGTATTTTTAATGATATATCATTGATTTCTAACCAAATAAAACAAAACGTTTGTCGATACGAACAGAATTCAACACCAATCAATATTGTCTCGACATCTTCAGCCATTAATTTTAATGAACTCAAGGCTTCGTTCATGTACACACAATTACTTAAAGAAATCCTTCTGGAAATGGAACACAATGAACAAGGAAAAGCAGAATTTGTCGAATTTTGTCGTGTAAACGTTACTGAGATCAACACGACACTGGATGTGATCGATGAATTTGACCGAGATTTCGACAATCATACTCCCGTTTGGTGGTATACAAAAGACATATTCATTTATTCAATGCTCAACAGTGCTTTGAGAACACAAAATATTGAGATTATCCTTAAGCTTGGCTTCTTTATACGCGATCTCTATCGACAAATTGAACAAATCTATTCGAATTCACATCAAACAACAAAAATGACTGTTTATCGTGGTCAAGGCATGTCGACTGCAGATTTTGATAAGATCAAAATGAGTGAAGGTGGTCTTCTATCGTTCAATAATTTCTTGTCGACAAGTGACAATCAAGAAATCTCTCTTATGTTTGCAGACAGTGCTCGACAAAATTCTGATTTAATAGGAGTTTTCTTTCGAATGGAAATTGATCCATCGATTTCATCGATTCCATTTGCTGTCTTAGACGACGTCAGCTACTTCTCAGATTCAGAACGAGAGATTCTCTTTTCCATGCATACTGTGTTTCGAATCGGTAAGACGCAGCAAATTGAAGATCGCCTATGGGAGGTGAAACTATATCTCACAAGTGACAATGATGAACAACTGCAGCATTTGACCGATTACATGCGTCAAGAAATTCGACAGCCAACATGGCGGCATAGCTTGAGCACACTAATGGTTAAGATAGGCGAATTTGACAGGGCCGAACTGTTGTTTAACAAAATACTCGAGACGACTGGCAACGACGAGTTAGCACACCTTGGCTATTTATATCTACAACTTGGATCTGTCCATAACAACAAGGGTAATCTAACGATTGCATTGTCATATTATCAAAAGGCACTTGAAATTCACCAAAAAGTTCTTCCATCCACTAATCCCTACTTGATCACAGAGCACAACAATATTGCTATGATGTATTATTCCTCTGGGAATTATTGCACTGCACTCAGACACTTTGAAAAGACGCTTGAAATGCAACACAAATCTCCTGAACAAAATGACTCTAATTTAGCCACAATTTACAACAACATCGGTGCAACACATAACGCCATGGGAGAGTATTCAACTGCACTTGTGTACTATCAAAAGACATTTGAAATGCAACAAAAAGTTCTTCCATCAATTGATCCTATACTGGCAACCACTTATAGCAACATGGCATCAGTGCATTGTATTTTAAAGAATTATACGAATGCGCTATTCAATTTGGAAAAGGCTCTTGAAATCCAACAAAAAAGTCTTCCATTCATTCATCCCGCACTGGCTACAACTTATAGTAACATCGCCGTGATACATAACGAGATGCGAGACTATGCAACTGCACTCTCCTTCTGTCAGAAGGCACTTGAGATTCAGGAGAAAATTCTTCCAGCCAATCATATCGATTTAGCCATCACCTATAACAACATTGCTTCTGCCATTCACCAAAAAGGAGACTTCTCTACTGCACTCTCATTATATCGAAAGGCACTTGAAATTCAACAAAAAGTTCTTCCATCTAATCATCTTGCACTGGCGACGACTTACAGTAACATTGGTTTGATGCTTAAATTAGCGAGAGAATACTCCAGTGCACTTTCATACTATCAAGAGGCACTTGAAATCCAAGAAAGAGTTCTTCCATCTACTCATTCAAATTTAGCTCTGACTTATAGTAAGATTGGTGTATTGTACTGCGCGATTGCAGAGTATACGAATGCACTATCATTTCATCAAAAGGCACTGAATATTCAAGAAAAAATCCTTTCATCTATCGATCCTGATCTAGCCAGAACCTACAGCAACATTGGAACGGTCTACAACGTGATGGGTAACTACTCGATTGCACTCACTTATTATGAAAAGACGCTTGAAATTTTACAAAAATCTTTACCAATTACACATCCTGATGTTGCTACAACCTATAGTAATCTTGGACTAACACATGAGTTAATAGGAGAGTACTCAACTGCTCTGGCATATTTCGAAAAGACATTTGAAATTCAACAGACAGCACTTTCATCCACATCTCTTGGTCTAGCTGATACCTACGGTGATATTGGTCAGATATATTGTTTGACCGGAGACTACTCTACTGCACTCTCATACTATACAAAGGCGCTTGAAATTCAGGAAAAAACTCTTCTACCGACTGATCTCAATCTAGCCTTGACCTACAACTATATTGGTTTCATCCACAATGCTATGGCAAACCACTCCAGTGCACTTGCATACTGTAAAAAGGCTCTAGAAATCCAAGAAAAAGCCTTGCCAGCTGCTCATTACTAGCTTAATCCGGCATCGGTTGCTGTTTTCGACGTAGATTATTGAGNCTAAGAATCATTTTACTTTAAAACACTTCCAACTAATCATCCGTCGCTGGCTATGACTAACTATATTACAGCAAAGACATTTGAAGGTCTTCATCGATATCAAGAGGCTATCGAATATGCATCGCAAGCTGTTGGCAAAATCTGCAATGCCTTTAGTTTCGATCATCCCAAGGTAAAAGAATGCCAAGATTATCTCAATAATCTACGTCGAAAACAGCAACCGATGCCGGATTAAGCTAGTAATGAGCAAATATAAATTGCACTTGCATACTGTAAAAAGGCTCTAGAAATCCAAGAAAAAGCCTTGCCAGCTGCTCATTCCAATCTAGGCCTGACCTACAGTTACATTGGTTTTGTGTACAGTTCAATGGGAGATTATTGCGTTGCTCTTCCATATTGTGAGAAGGCACTTGAAATCCAACAAAAAACACTTCCAACTAATCATCCGTCGCTGGCTATGACTAACTATATTACAGC